TTTTGGATAACCAATGATTATATAATTCAACCCCGTAAAAGTGTTCAACTGACCTTGGTCAGTCTTTCTGTTGTATTCTTTCAAAGTTACAAACCATCAAAAAGACGAAAACCGGTACGAGCCACCTTAACGGACCCGTAAAGCGGTTCTGTTTTCATTCAGGATAGGAATTTCAAAAGTTTTGAAAACAACAAAATGAAACCATCAACTAAAGAAACAAAATGGAGTGGTTTGGGGGCCAGAACCTGCTTTTATATCCTTTGAATTTTTATTTTAAAACATGGCCTCGGGCCCGCTAAGTTCCTGGGACTTTCGAGAAACGGGCCCCAGGTGTCAATGTGTCAACTGAGATGATAAATTTAAAGAGTTTCAAAGCTGATTTTTGGAATTATACCCCTTGGTCAATGAAAGAGTTTGGTCAGCCCAAGTGAACTACACATGCATACACTCATACACAACTTTATTTCAGTTTGGATGTCAGTGCAGCATGGCAGTGCTAATATGTGCAAACAAAGAAAACTATAAAATATAGACTTAATTTTATCTAATTAATGTTGAATTTTTTTTCCTTGATTTTCTTTCAGGACCACAGCACAGAAAGTATACAGCACATTACAGACTCGATAGCAAATTTAGCAAGAACCTGTTCATTTGATCCAAACTATTTGTCTCCATTTGCCCAGCAAGCTAGAGGTGAAGGCATAAATATCACTGGTGGAAAACCAGATGACATAACAGTCCTTATTGCTGTGGTGACAGAGATGGGAGAGGATACAGACACCTGATAATCATTCACTTCCTTTAGAAGAAGTGATTGTACTTTTTCCTCCTACTCCTCTTATACTGCATATTCTATGAACCATCATTTGGTGAGCATTCAGTTATTTCATAGACAAATACACCCTGTAGACTTACACATTAGTTATTTCTTAAGTATGGATAATTTGGTTAGCATTCTGTTATTTCATAGACAAACACACCCTGTAGACTTACATCAGTTATTTCTTAAGTATGGATAATTTGGTGAGCATTCAGTTATTTCATAGACAAACACACCTTGTAGACTTACACATCAGTTATTTCTTAAGTATGGATAATTTGGTGAGCATTCAGTTATTTCATAGACAAACACACCCTGTAGACTTACACATCAATTATTTCTTAAGTACGGATAAATTTCTTTATTGCATTTTCACAATCACGAAATAGTAAATATTAAATAGCAATTTGAGAAAATAGATGTATATATTAAACCATTGTTTCTTTGTCACGCAGCACATAGTGTAACTTATAATTATTTTAAATCTCATCCTACATCTCATCTTCTCATCTCTATCTGCTTCTTAGCTCACATTTCTTTCTGCAGGCTTTACAAAAAAAAAAAAAAAACAGTAAGCTCTTGCCTTTGTAATCTTTTTCATTGTTCTATTTTGGTGGTGAAGGAAACTTAATCTTGATCAAACAGTTGTACTCTTGACATCATAAAGGCTCTAAATATTCTAAGTAATTCAGCCACGCGTAAACATGCCGTAAGCAGCATGTACTAATCAGCATGTACCCAGAGGTTTTAATAAGTTTTGAAATTGGCTAAGGAAAGGTCTATCTTTACTCTGATGTTTTTTATTTCATAATTTGATAACATAATGGCCATTTGCTTCACAAAGAAGGCAAATTTTGCTAGTTGTGAGCTTACATTGAAACCCCTGTGTACAAATTCTTTGACCAATCCTGGTTGATGTACTGTTTGTCCTCAGATTCTCCCTATAAGATTTTCTGCAGATTATGAGAACATGTTTTACTTTTTTCTTTTATTTTAATCACATATATTTCAGATACTAAGAAAATTCTAAGTGTTGCAAATTGTTCACAGCAGAACTTACTATTTAAGGACTAAATGTCTAGTGGATCACCGGTTTTGGTAACCATTGACATAAAAAAAACCATCAAAGTGCATTCAGTGATTTTAATTATTATTTGACAAGTTGTGGAGTTTTTGGCAGCTAAATAAGAGCTGCAATGGAAAAATTTTTTGTACATAATAATGTTACATAACAAGTGCAAATTGGTAAATTTTGTAAGTAAGAGATAATTTAACTAACTGCTGTAAGGTTTGGTGCCCTAATCAAAGTGCAACAACTCGCTTGATGATGATGAAAGGTTATGGTCAAACTTCAGTCACTATCTTCCAGTCCCATCTTGTCAGATCATACATACTATTACCATTTTCAAACACTCAGCAGACCATCAGAAAGTGCCAGTTTTGTTATATATATTCATCAGATAACATTCAAATTCTCCTGATTAGTTAAAAAAGAAACTATTAATATTTGTTTTGAAGTTTTAACTACCTTGATATTGGATTTTAAAGGGTAAAGCTATTTGATTTCCCCAAACAAAGAGAAAAAAATGTGTCCTTTTTCAAGAGTTTCTTTTAATTCATATCTTTACCAAAACCATATTTGTCACCCACATGTGGGCATAAAGCAGCTCCTCTATGCTACAGTTTATTTGATTCATTGGCTGCTAATTGTAACCATTTTAAAATGATCTAATTTCTTTCTTTAACAGAAGTTTGACCATACTTAAAGTACTATAAAGTATTATTAAAAACTGGATCATGGGATAATCCAATTCAAGACTTCTAAGTGGCTTAGCCATTATGGTATATGAGCCAATATACCATAATCTAATATCTGTACATTGTAACATCTGGTTTCTTCTTACAAAATAAAGTCGAGAAGATTTTTCTAATATCTTGGGGGCGTTTTTTTTTTTTAATAAAACAATTATTCCACTCGCTCTTGTTGGATATGAGATGATTATAGCCAACTCGGCCCTACGCGCCTCGTTGGCTATCTATCATCTCTTATCCAACACGCGCTCGTGGAATAATTGTTAAATATATCGACGTTGTTCAATTGCTGTACTTATAATGTGAGACAAAGACTCCTATAAAATTGCCTGTTATTTTAAGTTAGAAGGAATGCTTTTACAACACTGAAATTGCGTGGCAGACAGTAAGAAGAATTCTCAAGGAGATCTTTGGAGTGAAAGGGTTAATTTGTTGAGCAAAAGGACTCTTCTCGGGTACTACTGATGGAAACAAAAGCATCTAACAATAAATGGAAAATTGGCGGGTCAGCATTTAGTCTGGTGGTTTTGCAGTGATTGCGCCTGTGAATTAAATTGCCCAGCTGTTGAAATTTTGTTTATTCTTTTTCTTTGAGTAGTCTAAAAAATTTAAAGTTTAATTCTAAACAATTCAGGGTGTAAAGTACTAGCTATTGGTATGTATTAAATTTTACTTTCAATGCACAATTTTTTGGTGCATATCTTGTAATAAAGAATGGTTACAATTGTTTGTTTGATTTTCTGATAGTGATATATACATAAAAAGATAGGGAAGGGTAGGT